TTTGTAGGGTTACCAACAAAATAAAACTGAAGTATTATGTTTACCATTTAAAATGTAAAATATTCTATCTTGCTAAGAAAATATTATGTTTTTATAGTTTTACCTATATAAAACTTACGTTCGCATTTATGCTGATAAAAAATCACTCTCATCAGAATCGTCTGTCTATCTTCTAAAAATTCCCATTAAAATGAATTCAGGAAGTTAGTATGTTAGGTATTAGTGATTGTTGTGTAAATTATTATTCAAAATATTGAGATTATTAGTTATTTTGTAATCATAAGCATACATCAATTTATTTAGGATATTTAAGGATAAATTGTTAGAAAATTGTAATGTTTAAATAAATTTGAAAAAATGATTCTTATATATAAAATTCATCTATAGAATTACGTAAATTAACTTAAATATAAAAAGCACAAAGAAATAAAAACTGCAATAAAACTACAATGAAAGATGTGGTAGCCATAAAATTTAAATTCTATTTAAATATAAGGCATGTGCAGATCCTTTTAAGGTTATACATCTTTTCTTTTGGGAGTCATCTTCGTCAGGCCGCATTCCGTCTGCCCTTCACCAATTACGCAGAATGGAGATGCCGAATGGTTTTTTATCCCATTTCAACCGTTATTCGATAACTTCAACAATTGCCGAGAACTTGTTCCTATCGCCATGTATGGGGCGACATGTTCCAATTTTCTAGCCTGTGTGCTCAGCGCACATTTTCCCTTTTTTCGGTTTGACATGATTGAGTGAAATATTGGTGTCAATGCAACAATAAATTTTAACGTTCATTTATTCATAAATCCCGTCCAGTTTGTTAAGTCGTGCGAATTGTCACCATCACCAAGAAGTTTACCGATAATAGACCTCTTAACCAATATTTGCGAACATAAAAGTTTCGAACAAAACCAATGAGGGTTAAGTGGCACGAAGCTTGTTAACAAAGGTTTTAAATGAAAATAAGTAACAAATTGTCAACGAGCGTAAAATCGTTTATCTCCAAAATCCACTATCAGGTTTTTCTGCACACGAGTATTTCGTATTAAAAGTGAAACTAAATCGGTGACTAATTAGATCGATTTGTTGAACACGGACGGCCACAGAGACCGGTCAGCTAAGATTTCGCGATATACTTTTTGGTCGCCTGACATGAATAATTAACATAATACCTAAACTTTCGGTAGACTGAACGCATTGTTCATTGGCATCTGATGACCTGATGACACCGATAAGCATCCTTGTACGGTAATGTGTTGTAAAATATTGGTAGTATTCATATTCCATTCATTGACACAAAATGATGAGAAAATTGTTTAATTCCAGTTATATATTACGTATACTATTAGATTATATGAGTAATAGGTAATAATGACAAAACAAAACAAGGTTACGAAAATGAGAGACACACATACGAGTGTAATGTAAACCGTTCATGGGAACTAATAATAAACATTAACAATGAGTGTTGCCGTTTGATGTGGCGAGCGCGTCATAGCCCAGGCCACCACTCGTAAAACTAATTTCGGTACTGGTAATTGTACAGCCCACTGCACTCGCGGATTAAGCAATAGCGGGAAATAAATGACCTAAAATATCGCATGCATGTGTGTAATAAAATGATTTATATGCACTGTTGAAGTTAAAATAAGATGAATGTTTGGTTTGGATTGGACTATAACATCCAATACAAGGTATACCCATCTTTCCAGCCAGCCAGCTTGAACATTATCAAACAAATCTTAAAACTAGAGCGTCGACATCATTCTGTCCGTGTGGCTAGGTAAAAAATCTAAATCACGTTTGAATTAGCAAAAGTAAACCGCAAAAAATATCGACGAATCCGCATGCTTTCTCTCCATCGGCAGAAAACATTTGTCCCAAGATTTTATTCAGTTTGAGATTAAGCGATTTAGCGCCGTCTACAAAAATAAATAGAATGAAAAATCTACTTTATACATGCGACTTAAGTCTCATTATAAAAGTGGACCACACATCGGCATCCGTGATATCCTGGCGCAAGGCCAACAGGCAATTGAATGAGTGACGATTTGAAATGGCTAAAAAATCCAGGGGTAGACAGACGGTCATGTTCATTCTATTTTGGTGAGGTTAAACTTTGAGTGTCTCTGAGTCAGAACTGATTCGCTACTCGTGTTGAAAAAATATTAACAGACCTAGAGTAAAAGCATATTTATTTACTTGATGCCTCCAATTACAGTTTTAGAATTAAATTCGACAAGGAATGCGCTTTGTTACATTCCGCTATTTAAATAATATTTAAATATCAATCCAATTTAAGATATGTAAGTATTTAGCCGTAAACTTTAATTCTGGCCTAAAAATAAAAATTTTAAAAAGTATTTTCCCCTCAAATCAATTATTAAATATTAATAATTAATTCACCCTAAGTGGTGATCGTCTATTTTGCTAATTTCTTTAAACATTTGTTTTCAGTGGTTAAAATATTACCTATAACCTTGTTGAAATTAGTTAAAAATAAATTCAGTATGTCTTGACACTATAAATAGAATGCGAATTGGCAAAAACATCTCTAAATTTCAGTTCAGTCATGGAACGTTTGTGAATACAAATCGACTTGTATAAAAATAACATTATTTAAGTATAATGTCCAAACTCCATAGGTTGTTCTAGTGTAGTTATTTAGTAGTGCAAAGAGCATATTCCATTAGACATAATCTTACTTCTTCTATTAAGATTCCTGTGTGAGTAATGTAAGTTTCGATCTTGTGTTGGCAAAATCATACGTTGTTGCGTAACATTTGACGTATATTGTTCTTGGGCACAAGTGGCAGGGTCTGGAGCTGGGTTAGATGAGTAATCGAGCCAGACCAGTTATGATCTCATCTCTTTTTTATGTTTGTTAAAATTGTTAACATTTAGCATAAGCTTACATTTAATACAACGCAATACGACAATATGACTCAATTTTTTTATCGGACCACTATTGTAAATGCGAAAATATGTATGTATGTTTGTGTACGCTGAAATGGCTGGAAGAAACGACTTATTTGGACGTTTAGCTCAGAGATAAACTATGACCTGGAGTAATACATAAGCTACTGTTCGATTTCCAGAGAAACAAGGATAGCTCGCTGGTCGCTACTAAAATATAATTTGAAGAACTACGCAGTTTACTGCGTCAACAGTTTCCACTTCCAGCTCTTATGTATTTTAATGCATATTTCCATTAAGCAAATTAAATCTTCCTTATATTAATCCGCAAATAGTTAAGGTGATATTTAACTTAACGTACATTTTAGTGCAAGTCATATGATTCGTATAAAAGATGAGTGAAAAAAACAACAACACGATTAAAAAATCATACTGAAGGTCAGTAATAAATAAACAATTGCCTCAATTAGGTACATACCACATATACTCGTAATATGTTGTCGAACCAATAGGTACGTTTCAAACTACGGCACACGAACAGGCGCTTCTTATATAGACTTCCTTAAGAAGTTTTAACATAGAGGTACTTCTTATTTCGATTTCCTTTTAAAGATTGATATTTTCTAAGAAAAAAATAAACTGTTGTTGATGCTAACAGTCAAAATTTGTTATTTCGTTAGAATGATTTTTTAAATAATAATTCGTCTTGAATTATTATTTATTATACTGAATATTATTAAAAACTCTTTGAAATTCCTATAAGTTACCCAGAAAATGTTTTGTTTAGTCGATTATTTAGTACACGGCTTAATATAAATCAGTTTCCCTTTTAAGTATAGTTATACAAAAAGATGATTCCCAGACTGTTCTAAAAGTGATGAAAAATAATAAAAACAATATCTTCTGAATAACAGTCACTTTTAACTACATAATTGATAAGGCTTTGACCTCGTATGAAGTATAGTATAGTATAATACGTAATACGAATAGCGATAACGCATTCGGTCTCACGCTCTGACCTTGCCTATAAAATGATTTATAAGCTGAGGTAAAAAGCTCATTAGCGATTTCATTTATAGAAAATTAGTTTTACGCAAAGAAAGTAGCTAGGTAGGACATTGAAATTGTAAAATTAAAAACCTGTATTAGTTGTTACTATATACCTAAGCTTTCTTTTAAGCTTTAAAAACGTAGTCTATTTTGGCAAGCTTTTATATAATATTTATTGTTTTATGAATTATTCAGTATTTGTTATTTATTTGTTTATCAATAGAAACTTACAAAAATTGTCAAATAGTACCTACGTTATTTATTACTTGTTGATTAGAATTTGAATAAATTATATTAAAAAAACCAGATAATACAAAGATGAATCTCTAAATGACAACTAAGGTGGTAAATAATATTTATTATCTTTATTATAAACGTAAAAACTTTAAAACTTCCAATTTTAATCTTGATTCAAAATGTTTTTTTATGGCGACCGAGAAATATTTTGTTATTTGTATTTATATAATACACTTAAATATATACAATACATGTAGCAACTACTTCTCTTAATAAGTTCGATTTAAGCGCTCGCTATAACTGTTTTGATCATATCTTATTGATAAGAATTGAATAAGTTTTTAAACAAAATAATATAGTTTGGTATAGAAATTCATTAAAAACATATAAGTAGATACTATTATAATCCAACATGAATTTAGTATGGAATTTTATATTTGTATATGTATTTGAGAAACAATCATAAACAGGAATAAGCCAGAGTATAAATTACAACAGCCGGAAAAGAGCGATAAGGCATATTGTTGTAGATAAGGCGCGACTGATTGGGCGCATTGTTGAATTTGTTTTGCAAAAAAATATTTTAGTCGCTGGTATTTTCGAATTCCGCTCACCTTAGAAATGTCAGTATTGGCGTGCATCCAACTTATACTGACGCCCTAGTTGTCGCCAAACTTCAGAGAATAGCTAGAGTTTGTATCCCAGGCACAATACTTGATGAAACACCACAAAAACAAACACGATGATAATTAAGTTTCGAATTGGCAAAACAACGTTAGAACCTATAAGTTCTTTCACATCACATTTAATATTTGTTTTGTCACAGGTGTACGAGCGTCATAAATAAGAGCGTTCGTCGGTGACACGTGCACTGCCGACAGAAAACCGCGAATAACAGCCGATAAGAAACGCGAGCGGACGCGTGCCCCTTCTACCACGACCGCTGCACGCTCGCGGTACAGCGAAACTGACGGACGAAATGCCGCACAGCGCCGACGCGATCGCACTGGCGCATCTTCACAATCCCTCGTTCCCATCCCCGCGTTTGAATCCAGATCCAGACTCCTTTCCACTTCTTGCACTAACAAAAAACGAGGACATACGTATATTGCCTCAGATCTCCGCACGTTTAAGCCGAGGAATCCGTCCATTTTTTCACTTAACCGAGTAATTATTCACGCCTTGTACGGTACTGAATTAACGTACGAGCGTAAATAGTAGTCGCGCATCTTGAATTCTCGTGAGAATGCTGATGCGAGAAAATGGGAATGATAATAATCATATAGTCTTATTAGGCCGTAACCAGAGTAGGTAGATGTTTAACTCCATTATCTTAAGCCATCTCTATAAATGTTTTTTTATATTTTTTTCCAGGTAAGTAAGGAAATAATTCAAAATAGTCACAACTTAGATATCAAATTATCTATCAGAGCGCTAAAGTGTGCCACATCCTGAAGGTTAATAGCGGATGACGAGAGCCGCTAGGCGTCAGGATCACGTAGGAGCAACGGTACAGTTGATATGCACTATGCTCATTTAAATAATCGCACTTCGCAGTGGGTTAACCTACTAGGTAGTTTGACTTCATACTGTGTCAAAAATAATAGCGAGCAAATTATTTTATGAATATTAAAAATAGAGTACACGGGTAAACGTCCATGGGTATGCGCATCACTTTAGAACGGCTGGACCTACTCGTATTTAGCTAATTATTATTTTGAAAGTTTGTATTAATTGAAAAAAAATTTTTGTGGGATTTATTAGAGAGTAGAGATTAATTAAAAACAGCATATATCCAGAAAATTATCAAATCTGAGTACATATATACCTATACATATTTGACATATTTTAGAGTTTTATAAATTTTAAAAGGAGTTTATTACTCGTTTTGTTAATAAATAATTAATTGTCATTCTTAATATGTACAATAACGAGTCTAGTACTATTTAATAACAGAAAACTACGTTAATGTACTTAATATAAATTTTAAAAGTGACAAAAATAACAGAACCCTAATATTATTTCGTAAGCTTTTAATTATGAAACGATCTACATTTTCTTTATTCAGAAGAAAATAAAAGCCTCTTTACTGAAAACGAGTAAATGTCATTGAGAAATGACATATTTTGCTATTCAACTTTTACAATAGAGTAAAAAATGCAATTTTTTTGAAAAATAGGTCAGGCATTCAGTGGAGAGCCCATTGAGACGATAATGCAACGAGAGAAATGAATTATCCATACATATAAAAAATGTAATTGAGTCGAATCTGTACATTAAACATTTTTTAGAAAATCTTATTGAAATGTCATTATTATCGATACCGGAGCCGATTCTACAGTTTTTAGAATTTTTGTCTGTCTCTCTGTCTGTGACCGCATCACGAGAAAACCACTGGACAGATTTTGATGAAATTTTGTATGATGATAGCTGGTTTATTCGGGTCAACATATAGGACACTTTTTACTGCGGAAAAATATCTTATTTCTGAGAAATCTATACTGAACGTTAAAACTTTACTATAATAATATAATATATATACTTTATAGGGACGAACCCTAACGGAGCGAGAGTGGATCCCTAGTTATTATAATATAGTAATAAACGAATAAAACTAAAGAAAAGCTAGAGTTAAATTAATTATCGCTTTTAAAATATTATTATCGTCAATTTATAAATAAAAATAAAATAAAGCTTTCAACATTTTTATCTATCGTCCATGATTAATAATAATCTACTACAAATGACCCGGTCTTTTGAATTCCCCTCTAATTGTATCAGTTTTTTCGCATCTACGAGTAGTATGCAATGCTCTATCATCCATCTACCAAGTCAACTGTGGCGCATTCTTTCTAGTAATAGCGAGTAACGAATCGCGTTTAGTTTTTTTATTGCTCTTATAAAAAACGTCAGTAGCTCGTTAAATCGCAAGATTGATATTGATTATGATTTATATGGCGATATAATAAAATATTAATTAAAAACTAGTTTTTGTTTAGCATATTTAGTTACAATAACACATAATTCAATTAACATAGACGTAGGTACTGTTAAAATTATCAGTACCAAAACGAATTACTAAATTAAAGTAGTGAAAATATAAAGTATAAAGTATCGAAAAATCTTATTTTATATCTAAAATACCGTTACTTAATGTGTGTTGGCTAATAAAGATTTATATTTAACAAGTTCGGTGAAATCAATCAACTTGTAAAGCTAATGCTAATGATGATAAACATAAATTAAGCATTTTAGAGCTAAGAGACCTACTAATAAAGATCAATAAAAAATATGTAACAGATATGGTGAAAAATATACTCGCGAGTTGTGAGCCCCTTTTTACTCGACTGCGGCGAAGCCCAAAGGAGAGTTATGTGTTTGACCTGTATGTATGTAAGAATGTATATATGTATGTATGTACGTACGTCCGATTCTATGTTCCCTCGTAATTACTAAATGGTTAAACCGATTTTAAAGATTCATACGTTATTCGATTCGTCTTGATAACGCGAGTGCCATAGGAAATATAGATATCATAAAAATCAAATTGGCGGATCCTGGGCAAACGCAAGGCAAAGGCAGACAATTTGTTTTGAATTTTTTTTATCCGAATCAATCGATTGGATTATCAAAATAAAGATTTTTAAGAGGCGATCACAAAAATATATACAACTAATATATTTAAATTTAGAAATTGTTAAATAGAACTAAAAGTGTCTAACTGACCAAAACTAAAAAAAACGTATGTATTCATCCCTTTCTAAGCGTCCCACTGCTAGGCACGGGCCTCCCTTCAGTACGAGGGGGATCAGGCCATAGTCCAGTCGCGCGTTACCACTGGGCTACCACTGCCTTTTAAAAAATACAAAAATAAAATACACATAATATGCTCCTTCGTCGACTTGTTTTCATTTTTTTAGTTCACTTTTTACGCAGTCGGTTTTTTATTTTTATTTTTGTAATTATTATCTCAAAATGTCAAAGGCAACGATATATTTTATATTTTAATGAGAATAAAAGTATTTATTGTAATCTATTAAAAAACTAAATACATGATAGAAAAAAAGTACCAAGAATAGTTTTTAAAGATATATTATCATTATCCATATTTCTTGTAAGTAACGAGCGCTGTTTCTTCATGCAACATTATTTTCCCATTTTTGCCAATCGGCTGTCCGAGAGGGCGATATTTCCTTTAAAAGACTTTCTCTTTCCCATTGTAGTATCGGAGGTGTCGAGCGATTTATCGGCGCGCACGTATCCGTCGACAAGTACACGGCGGGAATCGAACCCTCGGACCTTGGTGTGAGTGGGAACAAATTTCTCTAAGGCAAAAGATTCGTTTCTATGCAATAATTTATTGCTCGCCTATCAGAAATCCAATCTTAAAACAGAATAACTCGAATATACTTAAAGCAAATTTCAATAACTAAACGTTTTCTTCTATGGCGAAATATGTTATTTTAATATAGATATATTTTGAGATGACAAATGTTGAACACAATTCTTTTTTAATAATGACTTTTTATTTTATTGTAAATTAGCGACTCACCCTCTCTCCGCTCGGGCTCGTCCCTACTCACGTTTTAACGTATAGTATAGATTTCTCAGAGATGACATATTTTGCCGCAATAAAAAGTATCCTATATGTTGACAAGGATAACCAGCTATTATGATATTGATGATATATTTATTTTAATTAAATTTGTTTAATTTTTGAAGCGATGTAGTTAGATATTATTAAATTAGCAATTTCATTAGATTAGATTACAACGAGCATACTCGTCAAGTAATACATACATGTACATTTTCCTTTGTAATTGGAGGTGTGGAAATTTTTCTTGAGATCATCAGATGCATGTATTTACTAATTTTAATATGGAGATAGCAAAAATATTTTTTAAAATAAATGCATATTATGAAACAATCTGTTTCGTTATGGTGCCTTTTGTTATCTATACTAATATTATAAAGAGGAAATATTAATTTTTTTGTTTGTTTGTACCGAATAGGCTCAGAAACTACTGAACTGATTTATGAAAGTTTGTATGGAGAAGCAACCTAGGGACGAAGCCGAGCAAAGCGAGGGTGAGTCGCTAGTTATTAATATACTAGCATAACCTGCGACTTCGTCCGCGTTCAAACTTCCGATTCCACACGCTGGGGTAATCTCAAGATTGCTTGAAAATTTCAACAAAATCACCCCAGCCGTTTTGGAGTCCATAGGGAACATACATATACATCGATTTTTATATGTAGGTACACAGATATTTAGCACATCAGCAGACCTTGTCGTTACGCAGGAAGTATGATTCTTGCTCGGGACTTATGTTTGAGTGTTGGTAAAGCTGATATTTCTCCAGATATTGTTAAAGTAAAGCATCTAAATGTGTAAATAGAGTAAATTCAAATCATTTTTTTCCTCTTCGGCAACGTATACATTAACTACAAAATAATTTATTTATTATAATATTAATTGTTTAGGTAAGTAAATTATTTATCATTATTATTTTACTTAATATAAATAATATTTAATTACTATATAATATTTTAGTCGTTTTTTATACTTTGTACGATGTAAAGTAAATAAAAAAGTGAGTCAGTAAATTAAATACTAAGCAATATTATTGCTACAAGGGTAACTTCGGAACTGTTTGGAATTATGTTAATTCCTATAATCTTGTCATAACATATCACGAAGTAAGCATGATTAATAACAAATTAAATGCGATATTGATATAAAGTTTCAAATAACTATTTAAATATTAAATATATAACAATATTTATGTATTAGACGATAAAATTTTGTCCGTAGTGCCAATTATACTTATGTACTTACGTATTATAATAAAATAAATAAGAAACATAAATTTTATTTAAATTCGTTTTAACCTATTTAGAAAAATACAGGTACACTGAGTACTTGTTTGTATATGTATATTTTTGTGGGTTTTCATCATCTATGAACCGATTTTATAATTCCTTTTTTATTGGGACAAATAAAATTTTAGAAATTTCCACTTCCTAAAAATAGAATTTTAAAGTTAGTGTAATTTGTGAAAAAGTTTTGAGATTATAAAAAAATCTCTATGTAAAACTACATATTTTAGCGTTAATCGAAATAATATAAAGACATTTTTGAGCTACTGTT